TTCAGCACAATCGATCATATCCACACTCTTACAAGACTCATTGAAGTGTCGCGAGGGTACAAAATGCCGTTGTGTCTTACGTTCATCGATTTGAAGAAAGCCTCTGACACTGTCGATACAAAAACGGTAATCGAAGCCCTGGGCAACCAGGGTGTTCCTACTCAATATATTAGGATGCTTCGTGAGCTCTACGACAACTTTACGGCCAGGATTTCACCATTCTACAAGGAAGTCATTATCAACGTGAAGAGAGGTGTCCAGCAGGGCGATACCATATCGCCCAAACTTTTCAGTACCGCTCTCGAGAATATCATGCGTCATTTGGAATGGGAAGACTTGGGAGTGAAGGTCGACGGCCGCTATCTGCATCACCTCCGCTTTGCAGACAACATCGTGCTCATAACACCGAACATCGAGCAGGCGGAACGAATGCTGGCCGAGTTTGACAAAACTCGTGGAAAGATCGGATCAAGACTGAAATGAACGAAGACGATGTTCATGAAAAACGGTTTGGTTCCTGATGCTCCCTTCACGCTAAACGGAAAGAATATCTCCGAATGCTCTAGCTATGTGTATCTAGCTCGGGAGGTCAACATGATGAACGACCTAACTCCGGAGCGTGCAGAAAGAAACGCGCCGCGTGGGGAGCATTTAAGAATATCGAGGGAGTAGTGAAGAAGTCAAAGAACATCCGGCTCCGCGCTCACCTTTTCGACACTGCTGTTCTTCCTGCTTTGACGTACGGTTCAGAGACTTGGATAACTACGCCAAGAAATCGAAGATCAGGTGGGCCGGACACGTTATGCGACATAGTGATGGACTGATATAGTGACCGTTGGACCAGTGCGGTTACTGACTGGATCCCTCGGGACATCAAATTAACTCCAAGAAGGTTGCCAACGAAATGGTCAGACTTTTTCACGAAAGCTCTGAACGAAAGGAATGTTGATCCTTGTGCCCCTGGCGATTCATTGGACCACTCTGGCTCGTAACAGGGACGAATGGAGACGTTACTGGCGCCCGCTCGAGGAAATCGACGATCAGCGGGACGACAGGTGATACAGGTGATACCTCTGTTCTTCTAGGGAAGTGGGTTAGTATCGCGATGGTGATTTCATTGGTTCTTTGCAAAAATATTGGAAATAGCCACCAACTCAGAGCTCCGCCTGATCATTCCATTCCAACTTATCAGCCCATAGTGTAGACACTACCGTTTGTTGGCAATCACTAATATAGAACAGAGTTCCGAAGTTAATTTATTAAACTATCTTCTAATACCGTACTTCTTGAAGCAAAACACAATAACAAAAACATACATCTAAGAGAAGGTTAACAACAACTAGAATGCCGGAATGTACTACAGCGAGAACGTCTACGAGATATAAGTTAATACAACGTCTCCACAAGTATGCGAAGGATGGATGCTCACATCTTTCGAAATCACGTCAGTTGAGAAAGCCACCGGAGAATCATGAAGTGTAATACTTACGCGCAACGTGGATCATTTTGCAGGCAATGTTGCACTCCACTTGTATCAAACTACGCAATCGAGCTTATGCGCACCTGACGCAGCGGCGTGCAGAATCATTCGTTTTCATGATACGCATACGTCTATCCCCTAAGGCTTACTCCCAGGATCCTAGGCGACGTAGACTTAAATTGCCGCATAAATATGAACTTTGAGACTACCACTAAACTACTAAACAACGATACTTAGGAAAGTAATGTGTGATAAAGTCTTCCTAATGAATTTGAAAGAAGAGGAACTATTATCTGCATGGCTATAGTTATTCAAAGGAGCATAGTGTGCGGTTTTTCCAAGAACTCTTTGAAATGACGTAACCAGACTGCTCCCACGGCTCCATCCACCACGCGATGATCACAAGAAAGTGTCACTTTCATTACTTTAATGCTACGGTATCTGAAAAAAAATTATGCTATTATGAGTAATATCGACTGTGTTCTTTGTTGTTGTTTCTCTTTTGAAGATTTCGAAATGAAGATGTTTATGAATGAAGCTGGTTTTGCTGATTTCTATAATAAAGGCGAGAAGATTTCGTTAAAGAGTGTTCCTTGTTGCTCTATCGATACGACATATTTCTTGCCTGGAGCTGGATTAAAGGCACTGTTCACTAAAAAATGGTTTCGGAGATTTGCACATGGTTTGAATTGAACGATTGAATTGAACGCCCCCTCTGATATCATTTGTGCAGGAATGAGGTCGGAAAATGGTCTGGATAGGGCACAATAAGGGGCCGGAGAGTTATCCACGGTCACCCTCCGCCCCTAGCTAGGCTGACTACGAAATCTATTTGCCGTTCACCACTCTCGCATTGGAGCGAAGTTGGTCAAAAATCGATAAGCTGGTTGGCAAATTGCCAGGTTCAAGACTGTAGTCTAAATCAGCTGTTTGGGTGTGTTGTCTGCTATTGCAGACATTGCGCCGCCTTCGTGCATTCGCCCGAACACTCCCTAACCGCCATTCTTTCAATGTGAAACTTGTCCAACCTCCCTTCCCAGCTCTTTTTTTTGACCCTTTGTAATTCTTTTTGTTCATCGTTTTTTGCGCTTTTTTTCGTTGTTATCGCTTTATTCTAGAGAAGTGCTATCAATGTCCGTCAAAAAAGGGTACCCTGAATTTATTGCGAACGGTGCCTTTAATTCTACATCTCTATTTCTTTCGTCAATGATCAGAGACAATAGACGACTGTGTGTCATCCAATGAGATCATTACGACAATAGGGAGAGTAAGAACGAGATTTAACATGGATTAGAACTCTAACAAAGTGACAACTCAACCCAACAATAACTTCATTAGGAACTCATTCTATTAGACGCGGTGAACTCCGCCGTTCTCGACACTGTTAAGTTGGTCCCGGATGCTTTCACCCGCAGTCTTGTGACAAGGCTAGGGTGTACCCAATCCACCATCCAAATGTCGATCTCTCCTGCTCTGCACGTATCGCAAGCAGTACCCAAAAACGTGGTTACTGGTGATGAGAGCTGCATCCTCTACCACTACAAATCACACCGTGCCGTCTGGCTGCCTAAAGAAGAGGAGTTGCATATGCGAGCGAAATCAGACAAGCACCCCGAAGATGTTCTTCTATGCTGCTTGCGCCACTCAGTTTCAGAAAGCCGCGGGAGCCATTCGGGAGTAACGGCCGGGACGAGCTTTAGTTAACCTCCTACATGATAACGCCTAACCCCATATAGCTAGAGATACCCACCAAAAAATCGATGACCTAGGTCGAGGCACTGTACTTCGTGGTCCTTATTCTCCTGACGTCGCCATCACTTGTTCCGCCCTCTGAAGACTTTCTTGGCCGAGGAAACTCTTAAAGTTCGACGATATAACTCGGGCGGTCACCGACTTCATCGACCCGTATTCTCTTTAGTTCCGGGGAAAAGGGATCGCTGATCCGCCCAGTAGGTAAACCACAATGGTGACTAAAAGTATGGAAGAATCGCACTACAGCAGAGCACGTAGAGATGTCGTCAAGATGTAGTCAGAAAGAACTTGCCAAGTAAGGGCAAAAGGGTACTATGACTGTTTCCAGTGGTGACTTGCAGCACTGGCAGGTGCTCCAACTAACATTCGTGAGAGGAAGGTCTCCTTCAGGAGTGGCTAAGTTTTGCCTTCCACGAACTTTTTACTGAGGTCTCGAGGCCATTTTCATAACACTTATAGCACCGCCTTCACAAAATTTCTTCTGTTTGTGTGTTCCAATTACCAAGTGAATGGCTGCGACTCGTTTGCCCATTCCTGCAGTGTGATTTTTAAGTAGGATAAATTCTGTGATCATATGTTATAATCTATGGTAAAAGTTTTGAAACTAGTAGTTCTGAAACTTCTGTGAACAAACTATGGCAAGTTGTTTGAAACTACCCTTTTTGTAAACTGCCGCTGAAGCGTTGCTAAATCAAGGTTGTCATGCGCAACTATTATTCCTCCCAAAACATCTTTGTAACTCTATTCAGAGAATACTAAGAGGATGTCTGTGCAACACAGGCTCATGATCAGGTCTTGAACACAAGCTTAGTGGCCTAACATTGAATATCATTTTTTGGGGATTGCCACCTGAGATCCTTCAAACAAAATTCACTAAATTGAACTGTAAAAATATTGCACACTTGCCAAAGTTTTTTTCTGCTATCACGCCACATTCATATTCTGATGACCGAACGCGTTCTTATTTTAGGAACAAATTTTGCTAGCCACGTACTCTTCCTCTTCACAGGGAACAACCTTCGTCTCTGCTCCACCAACAGCAAGGATACATGACTGAGGCGGGTTTATTATTGCTGTGAAATCCGTGACGCTCCCGAACATGCCGAGATTCGATACCGTAAAAGTACCACCCTGCAAATTTCATGTCAAAGATGTATCCCAAAAAATGCGAACAACAGTAATGCTTACTTGGTACTCGTTTGGTTGCAATTTACCATCCCTGGCCCGAGCAGCTAGTTCCGTAATTTCCGCTGATATAGTAGCAAGGCCCTAAACAGCGAATATATTGGATTTCAAAATTAGGAGCCACACAAAACATTCATTAGTTCGGATATGCTATTTTTTCTCAAGAATGCCTTAGTTACCATCGAGTTCCTCAGGTCGAGAAACACCAGTAAATTATTCTCAGTAAAGTCCAGTTTGCATAATGAGGCTGGGCAAATTGTGAGTTTTCGGTACAACTTTGTGCCGTTTTGTAATACGCATACTCGAAAAAAATTCGTTCCTTGCTTTATAAAAACGAAAACCGTGTGGGAGGAGTTACGCACATGAGCTCTAAGCCTCGTAGTTCCCTCATTTCGTGACAGTAGTCACTATTGAAACAACGAGCTCTTACAAATACCACCCATTTGTAACTTGGTTCCTAACTTTTTTGGTTCCTCTGGTACAGCCACTTTCTATGACTAAACGACATTGAGAGTGTGGCAGTTACTAGTGCAGTCAACTGACACACTATCATCTGAAGTCGTTATTAATGATCCTTTCACTTTTATTGTTATGAACCGTTGCTCGGAATTTTCTGGTTAGGAGTGGCCGGATAAGTTTTGTTGCAAATGATATTAATATAAAGAAGGGGCGCGGTCTCTTGTAGAGTTATGAACACTGATTCGTAGAGGTCGTAAGCGAATGGCAAGGAACAAGGCAAATTTTAGTCTAATCACATGGCAGTGATTTTTACCAAATATTATCTCTGCTAAATATACTGAAGTAGCGAGTAGTGCAGTTAATACCGAAAGAGAAAGTAATAGAGAGTTTTCTGCATTTCAACACTCATTGTATGTCATATCGGTTGTCGTCAGTCATTAACACTAATCATCCATACAGGGTGTCCCAAAATTATGGGCGCCAATTCATAGCAAAATATTTGAAGCTCCTTAGCTGCGAAAGACGATGGAATTCCAATGCACGTTAGCGAACTCCATTTGCTACAACACGCTATAGTCATATTTCACAATACCCCATTAGCGCGGATATAGACCCAAATTTTTCTCGATCTGATCGCATGCTGCACGCAGGTATCCTTCTCCATTTCTTTCCAGCCCTTCTTCTCTCTTGCTTTCTAGAACTCCAAGCTGGGAGTGCAAACTCAACAGGTCCTCCTTAAATCAGGAACTGTACGGGGGGGCTTAAGTGAGTGAAGTCCTCAAAAGTAGGATGGCCATTACTTTGTACCGATAAAGTCAAGCAGCTGTCGTCGGCACCACCCGCGGGCAAGCTTGACTCTGTGGGCTGCAATAGCGTNCTTTTGGGAGGACTACGAAATGTTTCAGAGAGCGTAGTCGGATCAGTGTTGTATTACGTCCATCAGTACGCTCTTTGAGTATTGGTCTTGGTCAATTTTCACGCCGGCACTGAAGAATCCACGAGCGTTTTACCCTTGTCAGTGACTTCTTTAAAAAACATTATTTTACTGTTCTTATAGCAACATTTTTGTGAGAGATTGCACGTTAGATGTCTCTTTCTGGAACGCGAACGTTTCGGTTGCTGAAGGATAGTTTTATGGTAAACAATTTTTCGGCCAGAGAAGGGTTGTGTGTCATCACTCAAGTGGGTCTGCGACTTTCTGCATTTTTTTTGGCCCTGCAGTGACTGTTGAAATCGGAATTGAATGCCAGATTCCCGCGCACGTTAGGAATTACAATGAAGCTTCTGCGCAACATTCCTCAATGGTGATAACGCCGATAAGCCAGGCCCGTTGACTCCCTTTTGATGGGTTACCCAGGATTTCGACCGACCGGCAGACGTACCGTTTTAATAGCCCTAACCTTGGAAACATTGGCCTTTCCACCTTTCCTGGTTTGTCTCTGATCCAATCTTCTTTTCTATATTGTTTAATAGCCTCCTTTACGGTCGTTATAAATATTCCAAGAAATTTCATAATGCTCTTCACCTCTCGCGTGTCAATGATTGTAAGTGCGATTGAATGAGGCCTCCTCCATCTAAAAGATTTTGGGAGTTCCACATTAGTAACTATGCATATTGCAAGGAAACCTTTTTATGCAACTAATTAATAGCAGGTAATGTGACTTTGATAGATTATTTTCACCTTAGGAACTTCTGAATTCCGGCGCCCATAATTTTGGGACACTCTGTACATATTACGACGATTTCCACCAGCTACCCCGGTGTTACGCTTTCATTGACAACCAAAGGGTGTAACCGCCCTATAGCTGTTGCATGCTAACAGTTTTTGTGACCGAGCATCTAGCCAGGAAAGGATACCAGGTCTCAGTGGCCATCCAAGATGAGATGTATACCGACGTAGGTAGTTTTGAACGCTGATCTCAAATCTCGGGCTGGTAGGTGTGGCACAGATCCTATCCTTGATGAGTGTGCTTGCTTTGCTTTTCTATAAAAAGTGTGTGCACATGGTTCCCTTCTGCTCCCGGCTTAAGGTCATAATACAACCCACATGATGAGCAAAGAACTTATGCTTGATTGGTTAGAACGTGCGCTGCATCAGCAGATTAGCCTCCATCCCCACTGGTCGTCGACTCATGGAGTTCGCGCAAGGACCATGAAGCGATTTAGGCTGCTTTGCCAACTGGTAAAGAGGTGAAAGTGTTCAGCATTCCACCTGAGGCAACTTCCCTAATTGGGCCCCTCGATGTATATTTTTCCTAACTGCCTAAAGCCATATATAAGCGCACTCTCTCTTTCGTAATTGTTCGTGATCTGGACTTCCACGTTAACAACCGCAACTCCATAATTCGCCCTACCTCACTAGTGTACTTCTTGTTGTGCGTAGCTAGATTTAAAAAGTTTCTTTCTTGCTCATCGTTTGCATCAGGGTACCTGGATAGGGGCCTGGGAGAATTTGAAACTCCTGTATGAAATTGTTTCTCATCTCAACTAGACGAGAACTGTGAGTTGTGGATAATGTGAGGTTTCTATCATGCGTTGCTCACATTGTGAAAAGCTTTCTGCTTCAAACACTTTGTGCTGGCTTATCATATCTGTTCATAAAATGTTCACCTATTGTTTCGGTAGTATTTTTGCATAAAAATGACAGCTGAATTGTACCAGCTCACTACTACCCATAGAGGGGTTTTACTTCATCCAAAGGCGCTACACCCTGAGGAGTCATCCGACAGCGCTCTTTTGAAAGTGCATGGAGCTGCTAAATTTCTTGGGTGCCGGGATAGAAGGGTTCTATGTGCACCCCTCACTATTCGGTCTGTAGAGCCGACGAAAAATTCTCCTGTATTAGCATTTCTGGTGCTGTGCAAATGTGAACGAGGGCTGTAAATGGTCTATGTGATGAGTAAAAGGGTTTTGCAAGCGTTTAAGACTTCTTTATAAAAAGCAAAACAAGCACACTCATCAAGTATTTGAACCACCGTGCCATGCCTCCCAGTCCGCCGTCCCCAACTGCGCCATCGCCGCATGCGTGGTATTGGTTGGTTCTCGTATAAAAGCACAAAAGTGACTTAACGCTCGGGGAAAGGGGGCCCGTAACTCTGTCCCCAGAGTCGTTTGCAGATTTGGAACCCAGATTTGAGGTCAGCGTTCAAGTCTACCTACGTCGGTACACATCTCATCTTGTATGGCCACTGCGACCTGGTATCCTTCCCTTGTAAGATCCTTATCCATCCCAAGTCATTCACCGAAGCGTAAGGCCTGAGAAGCGCAGCTGCTTAACGTTTGGGCCCCATCATCAGTCCTTATCAATTGTCAATCCCTGTCACCAACCCTGAAGTATACATATCTCACATCACCCAACAAGATTATGTTTCCACTGTTAACCCATTGACGACCATGCAGTCCACATGTGCACTGCAGTTATATTTTTTGTTTTATTCATCTAAATTTCCACTTTCTTTCAATTCTTCTTCTCAAAACATTACATCCGGCCTGAATGAAACTACATACAGCTTGGTACTAGGAAATCTTCTAATTTTGCAATTGTAAAGGTGTTTTTTTCGAAGG